AGTGACATCCTGGCCAGGCTCAAAGTGGAGGATCCGTGGATCACCCTCTGCAATCAGGCCCCAGCACACCATGCGACTTTGCAGCCTCATGCACAAGCAACCAGCTTTAATGATTGGCAGAGCAAGCTTCGCAACATGTTCTCTGGTGTTCTCCTCTCGACAGATCCGGACATGCTGCACCTAACCCAACATCCTCCACAGGACCACACTGGGATGAGTCCTCCTGCTCCGGCTTTTGAGAGTTGCGCCAGTGAGAGACGGGCTCATGCTTTTCGGATGCTGGAGTGCCCTCACTGCATGCAACAATTCACCTCCTTAGGTGCCCTGAGAGTACATGAAGCTTCTAAGCATCCGCCTCCTAGCCTGCCACTGCCCGCGGCCTCTCCTACTGGGATGGAAGATCATACTCCGCACCAAACCTCCCCCAACACTCCACTGCCCCCCCAAGGTCCACAACCTCAACAGCTTAAGAAGGCACACACGCGAAGAAGAGTGCAATCTCATCAGCATGACGACAGCATGCATGGAGATCTCCCCATCTGCCTGCAACATGCAGACCCCCAAACCAAGTTTGCATGGCTTCATGCACGTGATGGTCTCTGCATCTGCCGACACTGCGCGAGAGTCTGTGCCAGGTGGGATGAGCTCAAGATACACATCTTTACCAGATCCTGCCCGATACTCTTCCCGTCAGCCCAAGATTGCACCTTAAGTACTGCCCCTCCCAATCAGCTCAGCCCGTATTGGCAGCCTCAAATACGACAGATCCTGGCTACACACTGGGAAAAATTCTACGCTGCTCTAAAAGTAGACCAGTCAAAGGGTTACCAGTACTGCCCAATCTGTGGTCAATGGCTGATTCAAGCTCGAGGCATCACCTTACATGTGCAGGCCTGTCATCCTTGGGCTAGTGCTGCCTTGTCGCTTGCTAGAGCTCACAGCAAATGCTATCGCAGAGGGCTGGCTCTCAGTTCACCCTGCAGATATTGTGGCCTCTCCTTCAAGGGTGACCAGGCCAAGCATGCATCAGAGTGTGCCATGATCATCTGGACCAAATTCCTCTTTTCCCTCTTACACCCTCATGCTCTGCAGGATCCCCGCCGCATTCATGGAGCTCGAGGGTGTCAGCCAGGACGAACTTCAGGAGGCGGCGGCGGCGGCCCTCACGATGCTTCAGACCATGGCTCTTCAAGGTCGCAACCTCTTCGAAGCACCACAGTCCCAGCCAGCGGGACCAGCTCAGAACCCGGCCAGTTCCCTCCACCCTCCGGCTCTGGAGGTTCAGGTTCAGACCCCACTGCGACAAACCTTCTCCCTCACCGGAGAACAGGAGGCGGAGCAGCCAGCCAAGTTCACGAGGACGAACGAGAAAGGCGGGGGGGGAAAGGGTCCCCGACAGGGACCTCAGACCCGTCGACAATTCCCTTCCAGAACTCCACCGGCCGGCCCACAGCCCTCATCGGCTCCCAGCGGAGGTTCACCCTCCAAGATTACGGTTTCCGCCTCGCTGATCACCCAGGTCGTGCAGCTCCTGCTACGACATGCGGATGCTCTCAACAGCATCGAACAATCCACAACATGGATTCTGTTTCAGGGCACGGCGCCCCCGCTAACGGTGGTGGATGCACAGGCCATCATAGCGGAAGAATGGAATCGGCTGAAAACCAGCAACCCCTCAGCCATCACCGAGCCTCTCAGGGTGGTGCTATGGCAAACGTGGGCATCCGAGTTCATCAAGCGCCTGCAGACTCTGGATACCGACCCGAACCAAAGGAACGAGGCCATTCGGCTTCAGATCCTCACGGAGCCGGACTGCTTCAAGTATGTGCGATGGGACCCAAGCCAGAAGCGCCTCATCCCCCAGGACACCCTTGCTCCACTGACGGCGAAGGAAATCTTGGACATGCTTCGAGAAACGATCGTGTTGTGCAAAGAGGATGGCGTTCTCATCAACTATCATCCGATGAGGCGGTTGACACAGAAGATGGCAGGAGCAGCCATCACCTTCTCCATGCACTTGGGGCTCAGAGAGGCCAGAGCCTATCGCTTTTGGACAATAATGGAAGCCCTGGCGGGAAACGCCTCGCTTCAATTAGTGGCGACAACCATCCGCAGAGATCGGCGAGGACGATCTCCCTTAGCCCAGGCCTTGGAAGCCGAACTTCGACGGCTGCAGAAACCTTGCGGCAAATCAGACAGTTGAAACTCCGTAATCCCTCCAATGACTGCTATGCCAATTGTGTCCTTCTTTCCACCATGTGGCTGGCAGTGCAACACAAAGGACTCGCTGAGCTCTCCGTCTTAGCTGCCGTGCAGGAGGAACTCCAACAACTGATCATGTATGCCACTCCTGCCTCTAATCCGGTATATGTGTGGTCACGGCCGCTTTGGCGCAGGAAACTACGACACTGGCCTCACACCGGCCGCCAGCAAGATGCGGCTGAGTTTCTCAGCCACTTCAATGAGGCTTGCCGCATCAGTTCACTTCAAGGTACATGGGCTATTCTAGATCAAAATGCACTGGTAGACTGTGGTCATGTTAGTCCACTTTGTCTTAACTGTGACCTCGAAGCCCTCCCCCGCCTCCAGGGTTCCCGCTCCTTGCAAAGTGCAATCACTGCCTGGCACCAGCTCCCTGGTCACCCTGCTCTTGCATCAGGTTCTGAGGGCGTTGCTCTACAGCTGAACAGGTTTCGCCTTGTAGGTGGCAGAGTCTTCAAGACACGAGTTCCGATTGCCATACCGTCAGCCGTTACCCTCCCCATATGGGTGGAAGGTTCAGTGCAACACACTCGTTTCCTCCTGACAGCAGTGATTATCCACTTAGGAAAGACCCCAAAGGAAGGTCATTACCAGACTCTGCTCCTTGACACGGCTGGCAAAGCCTGGATCACGGACGACAATGTTGCTGCTAGGCCCCCTGATCACTCATTAGTGAGGGTTGTGCAAGAGAATGCCTACATTGTTTTCTTACGTCCTGATCCTCAGCTTGCTTATGTGTCCTCACAGTAGTTTTGACAAGTACCATGGCAGTCTGCTCAATCAGTGAAGCCTGGTGCTGTATTAGGCCCTTAGGGGCGACTAGGCTTTTGTTGGATGGATGGCGAAATCGCCATGAAGCAAAGCTTCCGCACTAAGTGCGCCACTACGCTTAGCGGACGAACTCATCCTGCTGCGATCGTGAGTGAGTGAGTGAGTGCCACCACTGCCACCACTGCCACCACTCGCTGCCACTGCCACCGCCACTGCCACTGCTGCCGTTGCTACCGCGAGCTGCTGAGAGTGAACAGTGTAACTGTAACCATAGTTTCTGCTGCAGAGGAAAGCCGCCCTGAGGCAACAGTTCCTACTGCAGGCTGTGCAGCTTGACGTGCGAATCCGAGAACGCTTCAGGCTTCAGGGACACACCTGACAATGGTGTTCGAGTTGCCGTGACCTCTGCGAACAGCTCTCGAGGCCCTCGTTCTATCCCTCGCCGATGAGGAACTTCAGAAGGAGTGGGCGGGTCTATGTGGTCGTTCCGCCTGCGTTGGGAGCTTGTTTCTATTGTATGCAGGATCCGCAGATCGTTTGCGAAGCTGTGGAACGCGAGCCAGCATCTGAGCCGTTAAGTACTCCTTCGTCTGATTCAAAATGAGGTGTAGTGTAGCCTGTTGTCGAAACCTGTTGGGCAGGTGGGAGATGCTCCAGCATGTCTCCGAGGACGTTTCATTGGCATTCTTTGTTTGTTTCCAGCACGCTTTGGTGTCCGACGGTTCTCTTCGCAGGAGCTTCGGGGCAATCGTACCTTCATGATGGAAGCTGTGGGTGCTGCGCCAAGTATGTGTGTGGAAGTTCGCAGTTGATGAAACTCCAACTGCTTGAGGGCATCGTCCTTTGAGGAAACATCATTTCCAGTATGAATGCTACTGTGGGGGTCTGATGGCTCAAACCAAACAGTCGGTGCGCAAGGTCAGTCAGGTGTGAACGTACACACCGAGGATCGCGATATTATTATCAAATCTATTGCATCTTCTGGTTGGGCCTTTTTTGGATCTGGCCTTCCCTCCCCGAGCATTTTAGCGCTGCATCGTCGATGTTGCCAAGATGAAAGAGAAGAAGAAGCTCGCCCAACTCATCCGTGGAATCACAGAATCAGAGAAACAGCTGTTTTTCTGCGCGACAAATCTGAGGCGTGCAGTGTGCACATGTCTGTTTTTGTAATCCCATCTTCAGGTTAGCTTTGCAGAATGCCCGCCAGTTGTACGTATGTAGTTCTGATGTGGTCTTGCTGTATGATTTCAACTTTTGTTGCGGGCCTGCAGGCTATGTAGTTTCTTCGAGTCCGGGTTTTCCGCTCCCTCCCAGAGGTTAGCGACAATCGATCCATACACCATCCAACGTTTTCGTTTTTGAACTTGGTGATCCCTTGCTGCTTGGGCTGTCAGGAGCTATTGAGAGCAGGTTGCTTGATTTTTTGTTGCCTGTGGCTGGGAGACGTCTTTTCCCAAGTACCGAACACAGCTTTCACTACATCGGCCCCACCAGGCCCCAGACTGAATGGTGTTTGAAAATACAGTTCGCGTGAGCGGCTACGCTCGGGGGGTGACCCCGCCGCTGTGCCGCTGTGTGCGGTGCGGTACAGTGGTACAGTATGCAGGTTCCGGTGCTAGGTCCTAGGTTAGTCGTTTCAATCCGCTGCGAGTGAGCTCTCGAAGTTCTGGCAGTCGTGCTTGCCACGACAAGGCATCGAAGGTATGTCACTGAAGTACGCTTCAGCAGAATTGAGTGTGGTGCTCAGGCTTGGCGGTGTGACATTCGCTTGTTTGGAGTGGTTCCCATGTCTCGAGGCCGCGATCGTGAACTCGTCGTGGCAGCCATTGGGAATTCTGGGCAAGCGCTGGAGTTTGCTGCGACAGTCTGAGAAGATTACCATCGCTCGTTGGCAAGTGGTCGCGGTTAGGCTGCCAAGGCGAGGGCTTGGTGGTTCCAAGGCCGAGGAGCTCCGCTCCGATGCCGAGATGGTTCTCATGGCCATTCGGCAGGCGCCGCCTTTCACTTCAGTCTCCTTGCTCGAGTCCGTAGCCTTCGGCTTGGATTTTTGCAGGACTTTGAGGCCGTTTGCCATGCTCATGAAACTTTGGCTGGTGATTTCTCGCTGACGGCTCAGTTCCGTGTCACGCCAAGTATGTGCTTGAGCTTGCTGCGGCTATCTGCAGTTTGGAGATCCACAGATAACCCCAAGTCACGGCATGCGGTAAGGCAGTCCGTTGAGAACTCCGCGGCTCGCTGCTCCCCCCGAAATTGCGAGGTTTATGTTCAGAGCAGTTCGAGTTGATGGACGTGCCTTGAAAGGTGTCGGGACCTCGGAGGTCCTTGGATGCGCGCTGATTCTGATTGCACATGCCACGGCTTAGGCATCAATTGAGCTGCAAGCTGATCCAGACTTGGTCTTGGCAGCCGTGCCTGGATGAGATTGAACGTGTGATTTTGCGACGCCGCGAAGAACACTCTCTTCGGCTATTCGTGATTGCGACGAGGGTGTGCGCTCCAGGTGCAGCAAAACTGGCGATCGCTAGGCTATGCCAACAGGGCTCTGCCAGCAGCCGAGAAACGTTCCAAGTCATTCGAGTTGCTAGGGCTTCTGGCCTTGTGCCTTCGAGGCGTGCAAACCTGGACTTCATGCTGCAAGCAGTAGGTCTGCCGGCCCGGCTTCAGCCAAACTCGTAGCCAGAACGCATACTGGGGCTCCTGGGGCTGGGACCCCTTAAGTGGGACCTCGAGGTGTCGACGGCTTTGCCCTGGCCATGGCGGCTGAGGCCTGGCGGTCCGGCGGTCTCGTACTGCACATGGCGGCAGCATCAACAAACTAACAGACTATGCTGTGCTCGCATTCATGCATATACGATCCATTACACTTGGTCGCAGATACAAAGTTGACAAAGCCTGCTTCTTTTGCGGTCAGGAGCTTTGGATGCATCCGCAGCTTCTTGCGGCTGCAGCGCAGGATTCTTGACAGTATTGCATCTTTTCCAGATTGTCTTATAGACCACGTGGTCCCAAATGGAGATTAATCATCATGTTGCCCGATTCTGCACAAAGCAAGGCCATACATAGCAAACTATCAGGTGCTTGCCAAGTTGTACAACGTCGTAGCCTTCTTGACTCTAAGGAGCGTGACTGCTCGCAGGAATCTGCCAGTGCGGGGCTTGAACAGATGGGTGGTAGAGGGCAATGGGTGGTAGAGGGCAGGAAGTTGCTCAACACTAGTTTCATGTATCCTGTTTCGGGCATGTAGCAAAGAGTTCCTCCAGGTCTTGAGGAGCATGAACCTGAAGTTGTCGGATGCCTCAGACGGTTGCTGAACGTGCTCTTGCGTTTAGCCGGCGGCATGCGACCAAGGGAACCGATCTGCGGCAACTACTGCAGCAAGCTCGGCCCAATTGGCAGGGGCCCCTGAGCCCTGCAGGATTCCAGTGCTGTCCGTTTGCTACTCAATGGTTGACAGGTCGGAAGCGGACTTGCAGTCAGCGGAGCCAAGCTGCCTGGTGTTTCGTGCAACCTCGTGCATTCTTGCGCCGCTTGCGTCAGTTACTTCGTGGCTCATACACCACCAAAGCCAGGCAGAAGCTGTCTGTCATCGGTGTCACGACCGTACCGCTTCTTGCACAGGCCAGGCTGTCGTCTAGGATGAGTGTCAGAACATCGTGTCGCGTGAGCTGCTGTCCCTGATGCAGGCTTCTGCAAGCGATCTGAACGGTCGTTTGCGTGCCGCCGGCCAGAAGATTTTCACGGCCACAACGGTAATGGAGTTCTGCTCCCAGACCGTGCACGTGTCCCTCCAAGTCGGCAGTCACGCGCGTTTGTCGACGTTGAAAGGCTGAAGGCACGGTCGGCAGCATCTTTAGCCGCTGCGGCTGCCGCAGATGCTGAAGCTATGGCAGCTGTCACCATCTCGCCGTAAGCACAGTGCAACCAATGCCCTGATGAGTCATGCCCTGTTCTGAAGTCACAAGGCAGCGCCCGAAGAAGCCGAAGACCGGTGTGAGGACCGGTCCCGGCAGATTCTGCAAGCGTGTGAGATCCATTTGGCCCTTGGCTGGAGGCCAAACGCCCGGTTGACGTTCTGAGCCTCCAAGGGCCAAGCCGCCAAGTACCACTCCAAGGGCCCAGGCCAAGTGCCTCGCCATCGAGATCTTGAGGATTTTCGCGATCCAAGCGACAGAGATCTTCCTTGCTCCCTCCGGGGGCTCTCGCGGAGAAGTTTTGCTGCCCCAAGCTCTGCTCAAATGAATTTCGGAAAGACACTGCTTCACTGAGCACAACGCGGAGCTTGGTGTGCATCTAAGTTTTATACATTAATACATTTCCACTCCGAAAGGAGAAGTGAAATCGGAGGATGTCAGGACCGGTCCTTACAAGCAGGACGTCTGTAAACATGGGTGCATGTTGGGTCGCAAGCAGTGTGCTCTAGGACTTGTGAAAATCGAAGAGGCATGACAGGATTTCCGACTATGGCCAACCAGCTGAGCCAAATAGTAGAGTCAGTAGGGGAGAGATCGTTTGGCATCACATGACAACATCCTTCAGCAAGGTTCCAACTAGGGTGATCTACATCTTACCGAGAACGCCGTAGGTCGTCTGTAAGACGTAAGACAGTTCGAGCCTTGTTGCAGTTGGTTGGATTCGGCACCTGATAACGGCTGTGGGCAGGCCTGATTTGATCGCATGATTTGATCGTCTCCATGTGGCGTGGCCATGCGACCGTCCACGGCCGAACGACGCGGCGGGGTGTGACAGCAAGGGCTAGACAGTGGGACAGGCATCAACAAGTCAAACAGGGATCCACAAGAAGTCTCTCAAACCCTTATATAACAGGGCTGGCAGCGAAATTGCACGAACTGCCCCCCGGCTCCCCAACCCATCCCCCGCTGAAGCCGAGCCAAGCCATCTTTGAAGCTATACCATCAGCAGTCGTTTTTGGGGTAGTGGTCATGCGTTGGACCAGAATTCAGTGGCTCCTAGTCATCTGAATTGGACATCTCAATGTTCGGGTAAAAATCAGTATGGCCATTAGTATTATTACTAGTATTATTATTGGTATTAGTCTTAGGATTAGTAGCATGACTACTTGAATCAGTATTACTGCATGACTACTAGAATCAGTATTACTATTATGGTTACGAATCGCTATTGCCGATTACAAGCTACAGTAATTACATTTTTTGCTTTCCTTGTTACTATTACCCTTTGCCGCTACTACTGTTGCCATGCATTAGGCACACTGCATACTGCTACAGTTCTGCTGCAACCCCAACCAGCCTGTTCCCCAAATCGTCAACGCCCCACCGTGCTGTGACTCTGGTTGGACGGTAGAAAAGAATTTAATATGTTTTCATCGGGAACTTGGTAAGTTTGTGCGCAGATATCATATTGATTCTTGATCACGATTTTGATTTGTCTTCGATCCCCAACATGTGATGTTTCGATCCTTATGTGCTTTTTTTTGATTCAGCCCTACACAGTGATTGTTGTGTGCCCCCGACTGCCTCTGGCATGCTGCAGGCGGTCGGCACAGCCACGAAGATGATTTTCGTCAGGCGGACACGCTCGAGTCCTGGACCAGTGCGCTGCCTTTGTTCGCTTTGTGAACACATGTTCCATGTGGGCTTCCACGCTTGTGGCGTTGTGATGGACGACTGATTTAGGAATTCTCCGCCTGATTCACCCCGCGACCACGGATGGAGCAAGTGGAGGCTTGCTTCCCTGGCATTTTACAGAGAGTATCCGCGGGTCCTCGACAGTCGGGAGCTCGAATGTGGCTTGCAGGACAAACAAGTTGGCCTCCCGGCTTGTCATTGCTTTGCCTGAAGCCCAGCATTGGCAGCATTTCTCGCACCGGTAGGTTTTTGCCGCTTTCATTTGTGTGGTCAAGCATGCCTGTGCAACTCTAATGCTGGCGACGACAGTTGGTCAGTGCATGCTACGTGAATGTGAATGCTAAGGACGGCAACCTTTTTGTCCAGCACTTACATCTTAGGTAAAGACACAAAATATCGGAGCTTGCGTTTCCCGAAGCCCAGGATCGGACTTTTGATCAGGGGTCCAGATTTTGGAGGCGCCCACGCGGCGTCAGTCGCCGTGGGTATTCAGGGCCGTGAGGATGCTCACGCAATCACATGATGTGATGTGTCTTTCAGCCAGGCGATTAACCCAATCAGAACGAACGGGAAAGAAATTGGATGGATCGCTGAAGGGAGACTTTACTTGGCTGTCTTCAACTCTAGACCCTTTGTGGACTGCGCAGGCCCACCCTCGGCGACAAAGCATCGCTTGAAGGCGAGATAGTTGATAGTTGATTGCAGTTGTGTTGCATTGGTCTGAGAACCACACTATCTGTGAGATTGTGAAATTTCCCTGTCTTGAAGCGCCGTGTTGACATGTCCTCATGCGTGGATAGTTTTTGAGACAGTTCTGAACGCACCCTGTACGACAGACGTCTTGGGCTCAGACCAAAAAGTGCGCTCGTTGTGTGGTTGGACACTCACTAATCCAGTTCCTGCTTCAAACTGGTAGCGGAGCTGTGAGGACAACCACTAGTGTTTCACCCCCGTAGAGCCTGTGGTCCGGTGTCCGTTGGGTAGAGTAGTGATAGTCGCGGCGCAAAGGCCCCTTCTATCTGAAGCCATGAGCGTGGCAGGTTTGCGTTACCAGCCCAATCTCTGGTCACAGACCCTGAGCCCTGCAGAAACGAAAAGCGGTTCGTACATATACGACGGTACGGCTGCTGGCTTCCACGATTGGTGCTTCCGGACACAGATCCGTGTGCTGCAACATAAGGAGAAGCAGCGGCGAGAAGCTCTTAAGGACCTGCGATTTGCCGAGTCGGCAAGGGCCAAGAGCGAGTCACCAAGGAAGTGGCGTGGCAGGGCAAGTCAGGGGACCAGTGCATTGCCCACAGATGGTGATGGAAGCAGCGGTATACCCGCCAGTCCGTCCAGCGCAAAACGGACTAAGCCCGCGTCCGAGGCAGAAGATGAGGATGCGGAGTCGTTGCCGTCGCACCCCAGCCAAGTGGCGGGCGACGATGAGCAGGAGCCGGACACAGATCCGGCGGTGTACACCTTGCAAGACATTAAGGACGAGTCGCTTGATATGAGCGAATGCGTTAGCAAGATTTTGGAGGGTCTCCGAGGAGACGCCTTTTGCATTGCTCGCGACGTCGGCCTGGAACGTCTGCTACGCCATGATGGCGTCGATTACCTGATAGAAGAAATCAGGAGGCAAGCTTTCCCTCTTCAATCTGAAGAGGCGTCCGAACTCTTCCGTCAGGGACAGCTCCTGACGGGCCCACTCGCAAAACAGCCCGGCGAGCCTATGTTGTCTTACATAGCCCGCCGAAAGCGGTGGTGGTCGACCTTGCGTGAGCTAGATCCTGATATCCGCCTTTCAGAAGCAATGAGGGCTAACCTCCTTGTTGAGCTTTCAGGGTTGGAAAGGAACGAACAGCTAATGGTCAAGACCGCCGCCCGCGTACACACCGTGGATGAGTACGCACGCGTACTTGTTCAGCATCACTCAGTGGTGCACATGAAGGAACGTCTTCTTACCCAGAAGGACCCTAGTGGCCCAGGTAAGACCTGGAGACGTTTCGACGCTAAGCCGCAGTACCCTAAGTTTGGTTACATGGGGTATGATGGTAGTGCCGCAGAGTATGGTCACCAGGAACAGCAGGAATCCGCGGAAGGCTACGGTGACGGCTACGGCGAGGAAGCATACCAGGCCACAGCGGCTGGGGGAGATGATGCGGATGAATGGATTGATGATGAAGACCTAGCATTGCAACTCAACGCCTATACGGCAGTGGCATATG